TTGAGAAAGGATTTCCGTCGCTCTTTCAAATGCTCGTGCAGTCCATCCGTGTCCGAGACAGGAGATGTGTTGAAGAGAGAAAGAGTCACGGTCGAAGAGAGGCGTTGGCACAACTCTCACCGCGTCTTTTGTTGCCGTGCCACGATCTGACCGAAGAGAGACAGAGAGAGAGAAAGAGAGACGGGCCCACGGTGCGCAGCTCAACCACCTATTGCACCGTGACCCACCATCAACCCCTCAAAAACAAAACTTTGCCATATGTGTTTGTGCCGCGCTGCTGCTGTACCGTGGCGTGAAGATCGAGTGTCCCTGGGGTGCACGTCTCTAGGAGAGGTTGAAACGGAAGCCACTGACATTTGCACGACTAGTGTAAGAGTTGACCGGTGGTGCATCTTCCAACCATTCCTTCCGAGTTACAGCACGTCGGGAACCGTTCGTCCGTCTTCCGCTCGCACGGCATATCGCATATCTGTCTGTACAACAACAAGACCGCGTTCGCCGGAGTAAATCCCGCCACAACAAGCCGGAAGTATGACGCGCGGGTGCATTCGCACCCGGGCAACCGGGAGGCAACTCAGACTGTAGTCTATGCGTGCAGCCGTCGTAGTTGCACATCTGACATGTCGTCGTTGCCGGGTGGGAGGCACACAAAGGTACGATAGTCCACACATAGCGACGAGTACATCGGGGGAGTCACAGAATATTTGCACTGGACTATGTTCGCAAATGATCTGTGTGGGACTTCGTTAAAATGGGGAACTAAATAGGCTTGACGCAAACGTAAAACAACCCCGTACCAGTTGAAAGTCCTCTCATACCTCCTCCAGGGAAGACTTGCTCTGGATGAGGATGCTGCCCATCTGGATCAGCTCGTTGGCCCCCTCCCCTGCAAAATTAAACACACACAGACCGCGCGGACCCAAGAAGGGTACAATAGAAACGATTAATGCATACATTAAATACTGTTCGTGGTGGTGATTGTTGCTGCCGCTACCGTTGCTGGTGCTTCCATGCCAAAACGACTACTGACCTCCAACCAGCGGACCTACCGCCGACCACCTCGACCATGTTCTACACCATAAATCCTTCTTTATGCGGTTCAGGATCTCGGTAAATCTGCGAAGAAAGCAGTGCCGTGTGCTCGAGCACAACAAGCGGTAGTAATCTGCAGAAGCAACGGCGTGTGCTTTCCTGCACGGAAAGCCACCTCGTTTCGCAACAACACACTCACCGATGATCTGCACGCCGACGACGACGTGCCGAGTCGGCCCGTCCGCCCTGGCCACCAGCTTAAGGAATCCCGCCGCGTCCCCTCCGCTTAGCCTTCCCCTCGCGATGTCCTTGAAATACGCGTATCCTGTCACCCTGCAAAAAAACACAAAGAAAAACCGAAGTGGTGGACTGTCAAAAGGGGGAAGGAAGTCACCCATACAAAACACCTCCGGGTACAACAGTACGGGGATCGGGGGTGACGTGTATGTGCTGACTCGTGAATCCCATTGCTCGGACGTACAAGTTGCCTGGGTTCTGACTGATCCAACCAACAAACAACCAAGACTTTGGAGGGAACATCTCCCTCGTTTCCCGGGTGTGGTGCCGAACGAAAGCAACACCACCAACGTGTCAACCACAACAGCACCAACCAACAACAACAACATGTGACAAAAACAACAGCAGCAGCAGCAACAGCAACAGCAACAACAACAACAATAACAACAAGAACATCGACAACAGCAACAAGAACATCGACACCGCCAACTTACATGGAGCCCCCTTGCGACGCCTTCCTCATCCCCTCGGCGACCGCCTGCTCCTCCGTCAGACCCGCCGACGAGATCTCTGGGATCGTCCACAGAGTCAGCGGCGCCCCAGCCACCCTCTTGAACAGCGACTCCCCCTCCGCTCTCCCCGCCGCGTCGGCCATCGAATCATCGCTGCCAAGCATGGCGGTCTGCTCATACTGCTGCAGCTGCTCGCTCGTGCGCTGAGCGCCCGAGGCAGATTCGGCTTCTGCTGCGAAGAAGGGGTCGTCCACGACATCCTTACATTCCAGGGGGGGGG